CTATAGGCTAAAACGAAAGAGAATATCGCCCGAGTTCGGTGTTGGCCGTACCGCCAAAGTAAGGGAAGGAGGAGAAGGGGTTAACTTACGGTACTGTACCTGTACTAGTACTGTACTCATAGGTTAAGGTCGGGAGTTGCTATTAGTTGCCCATGATTGGCCACCAACCCCCCCCCCCCTCCCCGAATTGTTTTTCCGGCCCGCGCACGCTAAGAGATTTTGCTTTATTTGTCTTGTAATACGTGCAAGGAGGAAAATCCGATGGAGAAGGACCCGTACTTGTACAGTACAAGTACAGAGAATTGACTTCTTTAATTATTTTATTATTATTTTTTTTTTTTGCTTCCCACTTCTTTTTCCTTTCGATCACTCCCGGGAATTCCACACAACCTCATATCGTACGAGAGGATTGTTAAGCCATTATGAGATTACTTTTGCTCCTAGTTTGCAGGATGAATTGAATCTCGCTTACTCGAGATTTTATACACATAACTTATCTCCCTCTCTCCCTCCCTCCACCACCACCACCACCACCACATCTGCCTATATATCTTCCTTTCCCCCTTTGATCTCTGACTTACCTCTCTGTATAATAGATTACACCTATCCATATACCTGGTGTTACTTTCTCTTTCTTTTTTTCTTTTATTTTATTTTCTCATTTCCTTTTCTTTCATTCCACCCTACTGGCTTCTCCCCCTTCGGCCTTTCCCCCAGAAACGCCCCCGTATCGACGCGGTGCATGTATCATACAATGCACGCAATTGCAGTATCTCACCGGGAAGTAATTCCGGTTCGCCGATACCAAGTTGGACACTCCGTAGGTTTATCCGTGGACTAGACTGCCTTATCCTCAAAAAAAATTCACAGCATGTACTGTACTCTACTGTACAGTACCCTATCTAAAGCTTAATAGCCCGTCTTTCGAGCCTAGTACATATATTTTTTTATACCCACAAGCTTCTCAATTTTCCCTCCCCATAACATACTATACCATAGCATTATTTTGCACCCGCTGCCCCAGCCGCCGCTGCCATATTTGACTGTCCTATCTATTGTTTTTTTAACCTCAGATTGTCCAATTGACTTTTGTTTCTCCATCTCTCTCGTACGGATCTTGTTTCTCTCCCTCCGGGTATCGTAAAGATTTGCTTTCCTCCGAGCTAAGTTGAGCTCAAAAATCAAGCTCTGTGAGGGTCAAGTTTGCTCCCCCGAGACAAAAAGGGGTTTCATCTAGAGGGACAATGGTCTCTAGCTATGCGCTCTTTGAATGAAGCAAGGAACAAACGAGCGCGAGTGAGAATGGTGATGTTGAAGGGACAGAATGGCTAATTCTTTGTACTACCTGTCTTGGGTTTCACAGTACCTCGGTTAGGGCGCCTTGCTTTTTCGTGTCTCATCGGTGTAATGAGGTCCGGGGTTTGAGTGCGGGTTGCATGTGATACCGGTAATGGGGGTCATAACTTATTAGCAAGAGAAAGGAGAGGAGAACCACAAGAAGTCAAGATAACCAGTTGCCTGTGGGATTTGGGGAGGCAAGCTAGCTCTCCCGTGAATGAAAAGGGAAAAATCAATTTATCTCTTTTTTATGTACGCAGCAAAATTGGGGTGGATAGATTTCCTGGTGGGGTGGGGGATGTTCTCGCATCTAGACTATTGTACTGTACTATATGATGAT